TTGTTGACCACTATAACCATTGCATTAGGTACCAGTAGCAACATTTTTGTCCTGATTTATAAATTATTTGTCTTGTCTAGCATGAAAATGAGCCCGCTTTCGCAAATGTTTAGCTTTCAACTATAAAAATGCCCGATCTCTGACCAATGTGAGCAATTAAAAAAATCGTGTTGCAGGAAGAAGTTGCCTAGACTCAAATAGTGTGTGATTTGTCACTACTGTTTGCAGACGCGACGATGCTTGCTGTAGATTTTGTAGTGCGTGGAAAAAGGAATACAGACCCATTCTAGTGACACTCATCTCATATAGTGTTATTACAAGGAATCACAAGATCTGGGATCATGTTCAGCACAAAACTCTTCCTACCAATAATTTTCAGGACATTAAACTGGTTAAGAGGTAGCACGAATTCCACCAGACCTTACTCATACTGATGTCTTAATGAAAGAACACCCTTCAATGGAGACATTTTTCAGCATGCCATAATTCAGCAAAGTGGTGTACCCGCACACATAGCTACCGGCCGAATATACCTGAATTCGTTACTGTCGAAAAGTGACATCCATTTCCTGTAACTTATATTTTATATCAATAGTGACACTGCATTGAGAGTGTCATAGGAGCAGACGACTGTATGCTGGAGCATCAACGAGTTGGAAAAGTCGTGCTAAAAGCTTGGAGCTAGTTCGACTTATCTATGTAGCAATTCAGCTCCGCACGCAACCGCGCGCAAGACATGGTGAGATTCAGTGAGACCGGGACAACTTGCAGAATATTAGGTCACGTGGCTGAGAAACTATAGTAAGATGTTTGTGGAAGATGTTCACATGAAGCCTGAAGGTTGTTCAGTTTCGCTGAAGAGTAGCGTGCGCAGTGGAATGCGGAATGAGACTGATACTCCTCATGAGTTTGTAAACAGAGCATTGGTATGGAACTCATAGCTCAGCGTGATTTAGCAGTATTTCTTCAGTTCTAATATAAGCAAAATGTGACCGATCAATCAGCAGCCTTTCTAGCTCTGATGGGAATACGCCATTTGTTCCAAGTTCAGATATTTGGGCGTCTCAATTTATTTGCTACTTTTGGTTGAACGGTAGGAATGGAACATATTCACGTGCTAGGGACCTGGTTTAGTTCAATGAGTGCACGCTCAATTGTCGCTACTTTTATCAGTACAGTTGCCGCTCATACCACTTTCTGTCACCTACATTCAACCCTCGCCACCTTAATCGCTTGCCAGTGGCAATTACAACGAAGTTTATGACATTTGCATTCAGAGCCCCCTAATCATTTGTTATCTCTCCCTACCGCTTAACATCGGTGACCGCGTCCGATATCCCATGCAACTTATAGGAGTCAGCACCGACTTGCTATCACCTTCCTTTGCTCTCTATTTGGCTCTGCCTTCCCACCACCTGATTCTTATGAAGGGAGACACTGCACTGTCAACGCCAACGGCGTGATTAAATTGGTGGCATGGGCATTCTGACGCCCATAGTCAGCTTTTCACAGTGGTCCACATCACGCTACCCACCATCAGTGTTGTTAGGGTGGATAACGGTCGAGGAAATCCTCGACCTTGGATTCATGCCGTGCGAGAGTAGTGCCGAGAGTGAACGTACGCGCGGAGAGCACAGACGGCTCGCACATTGGCGAGTATGAATGTAACTGTGTAGAGCGTAACTGAACTGACGAAAATCTCGACGTGCCGTTGAGAAATCTCCGACCGAACTTCACCTTGGTTCACGTACAGCCCAACAAATACACTAAAAGTTTGAACGCATTAGGGTCGAGGGAGTGAAGTTATGAATTTGCGGTCAGACATAAGGATAAAGGATAAAGCATTTGCCGTTGATCAATCCCTTTTTGGGATGCGGCACGCATTCTACTTCCATTTGTACATTCGTAGTGGCGTTTGAATGCGATGTGGCCTATACAATGACTTGCGGGGGCCAGCCGATGTACAAGTCAGTGTTTTTATCCTCCCAGACAAGTCTGGTACCAATTAACCGACCCCGGAGGGATGGAAGGCTTGGTTGGCCCGGGCGACTCACGACCCAGGATTTGATCCCCGGACCGCTCGCGTGGTAAGCGTGCCACTTGTCACTACACCACTTCCGCCCATACGGTCAGACATACACACACAAACGCTTAGCCGGTCATGTATAGTAGGATAGTTGTCCCAGACGGATAGTTTAAGGAAGAGTTAGTTCATTCTCAGTATCGGAGAGGCTATATCATATTACCAGTTGGGCTCCGCACGCTACCGTGCGCATGAAACGGTTGACTTCAGTGAAATGGACAGCGTATGGAGCGTTAGGTCCCACCCCTGAGGAGCCCAACATAAGTTGCTCCGTAGAATGACCTAGCTGATCCGCTTTATAGACTGCTTCATTTTCGCTGAATTTCACCGTCGTATGCGTGATGGGATGTAGAATAAACCTGTGTTTGTAAACAACCACTATGCGTAGAATGTCAGTATACTTTATTAGTTGAACAATATTTGATGCTGATGATGTTAAAATAAAAAAATGAAAATAAAAACCCAGTGCTCACTCGTAATTCTACACACATTCATCACACATTCTTAAGAACATTGAGCAAAATAGCGGCCGAATGTATTTCGGTGCTCACGATTTAACGGAAACAGAAGGGACATGAAATGAAATGTGTTTGTTATCTAGAATCCGATTTTGGTTGAACTGTGTTCTTGTACTAATTGTTCTTATCAGCTTTTATCGGCTGTAATCACTGTTGGAAAAGCATCTCAGTGTTGGCGATCCAGCACAAGCGCTCGCGTTTCACACGCTACATCATGTTCAGAGTACAGCGCTACAGCTCTTCCGTGAAACGTATGAAGACATGGATTTCGTGCGCACACATAAACACACACAGACCAAAAAACGTGGCGTTTTTATGGTTGGTTGTGGTAGGCTTTTTTCTCAATTAGTTTAAGGTTATACAAGTTTCCATGTTTTTAGATCTACAAGGCATTCTAAGAACGAATTGCCCGTTCTACAGAAAGAACATTTCGTATCCGCATTCTCTGTGAGCAGGCTAAATTTTGGGCTCACACTGCCGGAGGTGAAGGCGAAGAAAACAATTAATTCCAGCAAATAATTACAAATCTATCTCGCATTAGAATATGTGATTCAAGGTGAATATTCTACTTTTCGAGACCTCTTCATTTCATATATTTCACGTGACACACTCCACTAATGGACTGTTGAAACGTTGAAATGTTGAAACCGTTTTCCGTTCAGAATTTTTCTTCTCTGATGGGAAGCCCATGGCAGTATTTTGGACTGAAAGTGGTCCTCCTTTTTCGAAAGCCATGTGCCTGCGCACATCATCATATAAATATATTACACATCAGAAGCATTCCAGCTGTTCTATTTCAATTTGTGTTTGATTTCATTTCCTTTATGAACTAGGTGAAATTTCGTGTCTAGTCTTGAGGCGTCCAGCAAGTAGAGCCACATGACGTTAAGGAAAATGTTGCACCGAAAGAGACCAAGTCAATTAGAAATGCACGCACAACTACTGAGTACGACTTTTTGTACACGTCCCTCTAGTTTCTTTAGGGCTCCTGCGGTGAAAATTTTCCCTCTAGATTCGACAGTCAGAGCTAGCTCACAATTCTTCAGGAGAAATCAAATTCGCAGAAGAGTGACATGGATTTTCGAGCAATCCATTCGCAGACCTTTTTAGAAGAGATCATGAATAAGGTCTCAGTACATCACTCATTGATTCATTTTGAATTTTAAATTTTGATTAATAGAACATAGAGTCGGAGATAGTTGCCGGTATGGCTAATTTTCGTCGACCGGACCTTCCGTTTGGCACGCTTAAATCTCACCCGCTCTCCAGCGATTATGGTAAGAGAAATAAACAGTTTTTTATGGCAGACAGTCCTCTTTGGAAAGATGATGTAACGTGGTGCCAAACAAAAGAACTCATAACATCGATTACTCAAAAGTTTCCCTCTTAAGAAAACGACAATACTTATCAGATAGCCTAACATTATACAAACAAATTACATGATTTGAGTTGTATTTAGAGGTTTAACGGCAAGTCGGAGTGACGTGTGTCGGTGTTGTTTGCCGTTCACAAAATGCGTTACAGATGTTTGAGTGATCTTGTTCCGAAAGTGTTGGGCAATGATAGGCATTAGCCAATGTTGTGAAAACCTTTAAAATTTACTAAAATTCTCCAAGACCTGAACGCCGCTGAGGCAGACTAGCGGTAAGATGAATCTCGATGTTATTTTTTTTAACGCGCATCCAGGTAACAACTTCGGAAGCTCTTCCGTTTCCAAGCTAATCGCTCTTATCAGAACATATCGCCTGTTATCAATTTTTTCCCCCACAAACATGATCTCGGTTCCTCTTTCACATAATATCTGAGAAGCGACACCTCATTGCTGCTGAAACGGACGCTAAGTTTTGCGACAGTTGCGTTTTGGGTCACATAATTCGCCCTTGTTTGCTGTTATTACGTTTTGTCACTAACCTATGTTCCTGTCTCCCCCTCTTCCCATATGTCATATTTTGAAAGCAACTCCTGACGACAGCTGGTTTTCATGCTATGAGTTTTCGTGACAAACGCCTACTCACACACAGACCCACACACGCACAGGCATGTTAGTGAAATAGAAGAATATTCATTCTGTACCACTGCAGCGCCCGTGGTCTGTTAATTGGACAGTGACTTCGAAATTTTGTGGATCTTAACCAAATGCCGACTTAATGTGCTCAACGGATGGGAAATCTGGTGAGAGACTACGCTGATGCGTACCTGATTCATTCGTACCACATTGACAACAATGAATAACAATCTGTTTGCTACAAAAACCTCAATACAAGAACAAACAGGGGTAGGAGGCAGTAATAATAATATTGAGCACATGGAACACTCTAACTATGAACTGGTTATCAATCTACCTCGAAAATCACCAGACCTAATGGGCGAAACGAGTAATGCTGAAAGAAGTTGCCAGCAATCATGACCCACTTAGTGTACTATCACACACTTATCCTTACGAAAAAACTCCCTCTCCAGTTCCCTGTGAAAAACTGAGGGTTGGCTCCCCAATGGCAACACATAGTTAACACTTGGTCTGTCACATTAGAATTCGATCGTGGTGGCAAAGTTGAGTCTGGCTCTACTTCATCAATCGACAACCATTCCTCGCTTTGAGTTGTTGCCCCTCACTATAGGTGCAGGCACAGTCTACGTTTCTCTCAACACCAATAGACCTGGAATGGGTCTAAGGATTCTAGGGACCGACTGTTGGCCTTAGGTAAAAAAAAACACTGATAAAACAAATCCAGTGTTCGTTCGTAATCGAGTGAAAACGATATTATTTATTTATTTATTTATTTATTTCATTACACTCAAAGGTGTGCACAATCACAGGAAATCTATCACGTAGCAAAAGCACTTGAACGTTAAGAGGGCTACACGTGGGCTCATCATTTACACTAAAAATACGGACGACGATTATATTGAATGAATTGTGTTCTCACAGCTTAGGTGGCGGGAAGTATCCAGTAAGATATTTGTTTCATTAGGGATCCAAGGTACGGGCAAAATGGCACAATAACTTTTCATTCACGAGGCAATGACAAAAAAGCATGCACAAAACATGTCGTAACAGAGTTAACTACCCAGTAAGATAACCAAGCCTGAGGCCGCAGCATGTAGGGCGGATGCAGGTCGCATCTCATTAACCTAAACACAGACCCTACCGCTGGCTCAGTGGTGCTTACGAGGTAGTTGACTACTGTGTTGATGTATATTTTATTTCTACGTAAGTGCACTTCTATGTAATTACCGTTTATGCAGTACCACGGCAGAAGGGGCCAAAAGACAACTTGACAACTTGACGTGGACAAATTGACCGAAACTTAGTCCAAAAGAAAGAACGAAGGCGCGCCACCTATAGGAATGTCAAAAAAAATCGATGATTTTTGGGATCTCATGTGATTATTACTTTAAATGGATAATGGTCAATTAGCCAATGTATGAGCCCATATGTAGCTAATATACATCAAAGAATCAACATTAGAAGTATCAGGTGATGTGTTACATTAAGGATCACACTCGAATCCAACTTTCTCTATGCATGAAAATCTGGCTGCTGCAACATCTGTTGAATTTCAATCATAGCTGCAAAAATGGAATTAATAAAAATTCTCAAGACCTAAAATCTGAGCCAAGTCGAGTTGTTCCAATCTCTTTCTGAAAATTTTACCATTCCTAGCACTCATTACCTCACTAGGTAGCATTTGAAACCATCTAACTGCCCGGTATAGAACGAAGTTGAAAAGCTGAGCATGGTTTCTGTTTCGAATTTTAGCGTAGTGGAGATTGAATCCACCAGCACGTCGTCTAGCAGGCATAAAGATCCAGTATTTACTTGGTGTCAGCTTAACCTCCATGCGCAGTATTCGAAAACAGAAAACAAGATCAGAAATAATTCTTCTTCGCCACAAATATGTTAGACCTAATCTTCTCAAGCGTTCACTATATAGCTAGGCGAATCCCGCCAATTTAATCCTTTGAATTTTTTCAAGAAAACAACTCTGGTGAATGTGCGTTGAACCGCTTCAATTTTTCGGATATGTTTTTTGAGAGTTGGGCTCCATATTTGAGACCCATACTCTAAATGGGGCAGAACATAAGTTTTATATAGTCGGGTTAAAATTCTAGGATTATCACTGTGGATATTACGGAAACAGAGGGGGGGGGGGGGGGGGGGGGGGGGGGGGGGGGGGGGGGGGGGGAAAATAGAGAAGCATAATGCCGCTGCTGATGGCTTGAGAAATATGACTAGAAAATTTCAAGTCTGGGTCGAGCAGAACACCAAGATCTCTGCTCATTTCACATCTTCTCAATGGAAAGCCATTGATACAATATTCCCTAATTACTTTCACTCCGATATGGAAGACAAAACTCTTTTCAAGATTGACTGTCAAATCCCAGTCCTCAGCCCATGAACTCAATTTTTCAATAGATCTCTCAAGAGCCGTGCATATTTCCTCTCTGTTCTCTTTCATTGTAAATCCCGTAAATCTTTATATCATCTGCGTAGATTTGTATTCTGATATTTTCAGAAAGTCCCAATAATCTCTGGCAGTTTTAGAAGTATACAGGGGGGGGGCCAAAAAAAAGAGTCACTTTGCCTATGGCGCATATCATCAACTTTCGTCGCAAAGGATGCCGCTGTTATTGGGAGTTATACGGCGAAATTATTCCTTAGATGTCCCCCCATAAGCAGAATCAGGCCCACCTTCGCTGCGTTCACCGTCTCCAGAATATGACGTCATCTGTCATCACCGTCGAGCTTAAGGAGGCCTACCATAATCGCTCCATTCTGAAGCTGCTACATAAATTCTTCAATCGGATAACTGGTGAATGACTTCTTAGAGACACTAGCTCTGACTATGCAAAATGGCTTTTGACCAGCGTTTCAGAGACGTCGTAATCATCTATGGTTTCTCGACGACCCCGTTGAGCTCGTACCGCGAACCATGTTTCCGTGGGAAAATCTTCTGGTGTCGTCGGTTTAGAAGGCCACTATGCAATGTTTTTGATAGAATAGAATGTGCTCTTCAATATGCAATTGAGCTCATTCGGTTTGGTTTTGGCAAAGTGTAATTAATTCTGTTTTGAATGTGAGTAGGAGTGACTCTTTTTTTTTGGCCCCCCCTGTATATTCAAGAATAGAAGAGGGGACAGCACACCCCCTTGAGGAACACCGCTCATACAATGATGTCTCTTGGAATAACCCGAAGCCATTCTGACTGTCATAAATCGGTTGCTTAGATAAGGCGTATACAAGAACGAAATGAATTGCCACCAAGGTGTATCGTTTTCATATTCACTTCAGAATAGTCCTTCAAACAGTCTTTAGGCGGCATCCTCTTCCCATTTCTACTCTCCGTTCTTCTTTAGTAGAAGTCTACCTTCTTCTCTTTTCTGGTTTTACGTCTAT